ATTTTTTTACGATTACTTTCAGTGAGGATATCTTTTCTCTTGCAAGAGGCCCCAACCACATTCAGCAAAACATGAACCATATCAAAAAATTCTCCAACTTCAAAGTGTTTTTTTGCAACAGCCACGACAACCAACTGAAGTTGATGAGCAAAACAATGAACATAATATGCAGATCCACTTTCTTTCAAAATCAATGATCTCAATCCATTGAATTCTCCTTTCATATTGCTTGCTCCATCATAACCTTGTCCTCTCACCTTTTTCAAACTCAATCCATACTTTGCAAACAAAGAATTAATAGCAGACTTCAAAGTTAAAGAAGATGTATCTTTCACATGACTGATGCCAATGAATCTTTCTTTTACCAATCCGCATTTATCAACGAATCGAAAAACCACAACTATTTGCTCTTTATCTGAAACATCAGCAGACTCATCTACCAACAAACCAAAGACATCATTATCAATTTCTTGGATAACAGAGTTAGTTACTTCCTCTGCAAAACAATGTGCAATGTCTTTCTGAATTGGAGGAGATGTAATCTGATTATTTTTAGGAGCATTCTGCAACACAACTTTTCTTACAACCTCATTCTGACTAGTTGTATATTTCAGAAGCTCTAAGAAATTTCTTTTGTTTGTTGACTCTTCATTCTCATAATGAGCACGAAAAGATAAGCCTTGGTGTAACAAATATCGACAAGCATCAATCGAAGCACTCAAACGAATTCGATATTCATTTTTCACAACATCAGTTTGCTTATGTAAAGCATGTATGATGGACTGATCTTGTCTCATCAAATCTTCACATTTATTTTTAGCATTATTGTGAAAACTAGTATGATCACCTACATGTTTACTGAAACTATCAGCCTTATTCCAGCTAGAAAAACCAGTCGATACAAAAGCATCACCCCCACTTTGTTTTCCAACTTGAACTCTGAACAAGTAACAATATAAGCAAAAAGCCTTTTCTTCTTTTACATTATACTCTAGCCAATCAGGATATTGATCAAACTAGTGTGGATTAAAGCGTTGTAGTACATTTCCTATTGACTTTTGTTTAAAAGTATGACCTCGAGGTTAACAAGGTCTTCTAGTCAAGTATTTGCGTTGTACCTCATCTCTTTGATTATGATGGTAGTCTTGAATGTTTTTTCTCTTCGCTGGATCACATGGTAAATCATCCAAATCGATATTAGGTGATGGAGATTTTCTTTTTAAAAACCTCTCCATTGCTTTTGACGTTACATACACAAACACAATACACACAAATCAATAAACAAAAAACTTTGATTTCAAAACAAGTTTCAAATAAATAAATAAACAGCTGAATTACTAAAACCTATACTCGGCAAATCAAATTACAGAGAATTATAACTTACAATTAGGGATTTGAAACAAAAAAAAGAGAAGAAGAGATGCGCAAGGTGCCAAGGTTGCAAATCGATGATCGTGAATTTAGGTAAACACACTTTTTAATTTTCTAATTGATAGAAATAGGTTTAATTAGTTAATGGGCTTTCTTTAATTAGAGTTATTTGTGATGTTTATTGTCTTATTAGGCTGATATTCTTTAATATTTTAAAAACCTATCGAACTATAGCTAAACTAAAATTTTACATGGGTCAATAATTATTTTAGACATGGGTCAATTAAAAATACTTAAAAAAATTCCATTATTTTTTAAAAATCCATGTGGGTCAACTGACCACTCTCGTAACATATTGGCTCCGCCACTGCATAGAGCAGCCGGCGGAGGCGTTCAAGCAATGCTCTCAACCTTGCGGTCCACAAGAAGCGCGCACGCCACACGTCGGATGATGAACTCGATGCATAAAAAGAAAGAATTGAATAAGAAGCAGGTTTACGGATTACTTTGGAAATGAAGTAAAACCGTGAAGTCGTGGATTCCGCAGAAATTATAGAAAGAGGAAAAAATCAAAGCTACACGCGAGAAGAATCGTGTCGGTTGTAGAAAGCCAAAACTTGATGGCAGTCTCATAATTATTAGCCTCTTGTGCCGTGCGATCGAGGTGACGCGCATTTATTGTGGAGAGACACAGTCCGCCCGTCATAGCAGAAAAAGCAACCGGCGGTTCTTGAGAAGTGGCGCACGCTGTGTGACATGACGCACTGCGCTCCGAGCCACCATAGGAGTTCGCCATATGGATCGCATTCACCCTACACTAGAGGCCCTTCCAAAAAAGCTCAAATGACAAATATCGTATCGAACAAAGCCATAGGAAAATAGACTGACGAACAATCGCAACGGTATGAAATTTGCGCCCCTATGGAAAAAGCGTCATCCGCCCTCGGGGGGAAGTAGCTTCAGGGACGGGTTGCACGAGGGCCACACACATGGGTCAAATGTAACCGCTCGGGCACCTTGAGCCCCACAACGGGTTATACGGAACGTATGGCCGTGGACGAAGTGTGGCTGTCTCGAAAACAATCTCAGCCCGCGAACGGCCTGCAAGGCTACATTTCTTGCTTGCATGATTGTGTGATTTCTTGCTTGCATGACTGTGTGATTTCTTGCTTACATGATTGTGTGATTTCTTGCTTGCATAATTATGAGATTGTCCTGTTCAGGTAGCAGTTTGATTTCTCACCCTCGTCACAATTGCATCCTTCCTTGTTTATATACATTCGTTATCTGTCTCTTAACGTACCCCATTCTTAGCATGCTCTCCCGCGGTCTTGTTTGTCCTCCGGGGCACAATTCCTTCGGGAATTCAGGACTCCGGTCCAGCAGGCCCCTGCAGTCCTCTCTGTGTCCGCTGCCCTCCGGGGACAGCGCGCACCTTAGCATGCTCTCCCGTGGACGTGCTCGCTCCCAAGGTACCCCTCCTCCGGGAATCTGAGGCTCCGGCTTTGCAGATCTCCGGGTCTTCCTCGCCAGTCCCCCCAGCGGGCCATGCGACAAAAAAGCATGCTCCTCTCGAGGACATGCTTGCCACTCAAGCACCACAGGAATTGAGATCGTTGACTCGCATGCTTTCTTTTTCTGATAAATTCCCCGACCTCTTCTCTCTGGGGTACGTCACAAGCACGTTCTCAAAACCCAGAAACTTTCGCGTAAGCACAACGTGAAGACTGTCCAGGCAGTAAGGGAGTCGAGGTAACACCCTCAGGAAATACCCTACTCCGCACCAACTGCATTCGAGTAGTGACTCCCCCTTGCGTTAGTGTCCCGCAACACAAGGAATATCTATTCATCTGCTCAACGGCGCTACCTCTGGCCTTTGGGTTGGTGTCTTATCCACGTCGTTGTCTCATGTTGATCCTCATTGTCACATGAGACTATAACCTCTCTTATGACCCCGATGAGAGGGGGTAAGACGGCTTCTTGTCTAGTGTATCACGAAACAAGAAGTAAAATCCCTCCAGGGTGATGTCCACCAGTGGCCAAACTATCACTTCCTCCGGGAGCGCCAATATCGTCCTATTCTGAGCAAGTGTCGTACTTCCCCGGATGCGCGCCCTAGTCAGGGTAGGACCCCATCACCTAACTCCCCTGGCCGATGGCGACGAGGCGAGTCCCTTTTTATGTACTCAGTCTGACGTGACGGTTCGTTTTCCCTGGAAGTATAATTCTTTCGGCAAATAATGTGCTCCCCTGGACAAGAATAAGGCAGGAGTTGACATCTATTAAGCTGCCTTGCGGCTCGCTTCTCCGAAAGTGCAATTCTCTCGACCGATAACGTGCTCTTCTGGGACATACGAGTAAGGTCGGGGTTGAAACCTTTTTTTATTTGCTCCTCCGACTAGAACCGTACTCCTTTGCGATGTGTGGCAAGGTTGGAGTCAATGCCTTTTTCTTACTTCCCTGGAAGTCCGGACCTCCTAGCTAGTACCGTATTCATTCGGAACACATGGAATGGCTTGGATGAGTCCCTAATTTTAATATCGGCCTTAAGAACTTAGCTTCGCCCAGGCTAGTAACGTATCCCCCAGGATACGCGGCAAGGTCGTCGCATCAGCCTAGCCTTTAATGGCGGAATGCTTAGGGAACCGGATAACTTATGTTTATTGTGCAGGAAACCCAAGAGGATTCGACACCCTGACTCATTTCCCAATCAGTCGAGAAGTCGGGGACAACTGTTGGGACCGATTTTACCGCTCCCAAGGAGGACGCGACACGTGGACATCGAACTGCCCTAAACATTGACACACACCATGTTACCTCGGCCGAACCACTCCTATTCATTATTCTCGGGCAGTTGGCGAGCTTCCCCAAACACGCATGAATCATTAGCCCGCCTGCTCCTCTGGTGCGCCGAATGAAGAAGACATGACAAGGAGAAGCCTAGTATAAAAGGAGAGAGATCCCCACATAAGAAAGAGATCGGCTCGGCGGATCCGACCTAAGGGACCAGACTCTGGGAACTCGATCAAAGGAAAAGATGTCTGACCACCCTGAACCGAGCTGCACCGCCGAACAACATAATCAAGAGAGAATCTCCCCTTCCCTCGAGATAATGCCTATCAGGATAAGTTCTTCTTGACCTAGAACCCTGCCTTTATACTTTCTAAATCTTCCTCTTTCAGTGTAGAAACCCTCCTTGAAACACTCGTAAACAGACAGATGTCTCGATCCCCTGACGAGACTTCTCACCCGAACTCGTAGAAACACACTCCTGAGTATTTTTTCTCGGTACGGCGTTTATTGACTTGGTCTTCGGAGAACCTTTAGGAGGGAAACCCCCTTTTGATCTTCCCAGAGGCCCGATTGACCTTTTGTGTATTGTTTGCAAGGTCGAACGTGTTCACTACCCTGCCAATGGGACTCGGACTGGCTTCCGCCCTGGAACATCTCGCCTCTTTTCCCCCCAGAGGACAAAACTCGGAGGTACGACTCCACTCCCCGGATGAATAACACACTCCTACGTGGCATCCCAACCTTGATTATTGCTGGCCTATCCGAACGGGATTTTGGACCGCTTCATTGACACATGGTGTATCATCATTAACTGTTACACGATATATGTCTTCCTATTCTTGTGTCTCAGGAATTTGTGTTTCGAGCATGTCACCACTATCAGTGTCAGAGCCACGAAGGTCGTCTTCACGCTTATTTATCAACTCTCTTTTTTTTTTTCCAGAGAATATTGAGATTGTTATTAGAGATCATGTAATATGAAACATCGCACCATCACATTCCAAAAATATGGGGGTTTTCGGTTGAAAACTTTTATTATTTTGCATCTCTATAAATTTAGAGCCATAATATTATTTGGTACCTAAATTTAAATATATATTTTCATAATTATAAAAATTATGTATACTTACCAATTCACGCTCTTTCCACCATGCGTCAGATGCATAGATCATGGATGTCGCAGGATCCACCAAAATACCAATGAAACTCATAAGAGCTTTCCATCTCTTGCAATTTTTTTTGAATTCATCAAGCTTGTTCTTAAAATAACCATAAGTTATATTTATGTTGAATACACTGTTGAACTTCTCAACCATATACTCTTTTCCAAAAGAATTATGATTCTTTGTTGTGTAAATATTCATCACAATTGTTTCATCGAACAATTCTATTAAAGTTTTTCCATAATGTACGATCATTTGTATTTCTCTTTGTCTTTGTTCTACAAATTTCAAAATTATTATGTTAATTATTTTATTAAATTTATGTAATGTATATTATTTTAAAAATATATATTTATCCTTATGATTAGTTTGCTGGGAGGAATTAGAATTTCTCCAGTGGAATCATTTTGTCTTGAAGATATGATTAGACGCCATATCTGTTATTAATAAAATTAAACAATAATTTTAGTTTGTTAAAACTAATAATCAATATCAATACAATCTATAAAACTTTCTTTTTTTATGCTTTGCACAAATCATAAAATTACATTTCCTTGTTAAGTATATGTTTACACATGTAAATATATAAACCTATCATCCTAATATAATATATATTATATTTGCATATATATATATATATTTTATGTAAAATAAATTTCATAAAATATATCTATATTCTTTTTATTGGAGATAGCCATACATAATTATTTACTATGTGTCTCGTCCGCACTATGCACGGGCAGAATTGCATAATAAATTGTTGTTTTGAATGATATCAGATATGTTCAAAAACATCACGAAACAGAATTAAATAGTTCAATACATCCAAAATTTTTATTAAATAGTCCGAGTAGCATTTTTTGAAAGACAAATGGGAAACATGCATCCTCATTATTGTTCATTCGATCCAGAGCTTGCGGTCGATGCCTTTTCACAACATCGTAGCCTGTAATAAAAATTTATGATATGTATAAGGAGCTAAGAAGTAGTAAAATAAATTGATTTATTCTGTTTACAATGTCATTATCTATCACGGAAACAATGAACATCAAGAACATCAGCATTGAAATAGAATTCACAATACTTCTCCATTGCAATAACATTCATAAAACCTATACAAAAAAAACTAAGCTCACAAGACAACACATATAAACCAACAAACATAGTTTGGTGTATTACATTATTCATAATACCTTCATATTGTTTGTTGATGTACCATCATATCAGCACACAAATAACCTCTCCATCACGGTTTTGAGACCATTGCAAGGCAAACTCTTCAGCTACTTTTCCCATTGCACAACATTTAATTACACGTTTCCTGTAGAAAAAAACGTTATAAAATAGCAATGAATCGATAATATGATGTGAAAATAAATAATAACCTTACTTGTCATCTTGGAGATCAAAAGGGATGATAACGTAATCATCTTGTATTTTACTCTCATAAAAAATCTCTAGCCCACCGACGTTTTTAAGAACACCAATTAAATCTAACAAACAATAGCACAAAATAATGAAACTCTTATTTTTTTTTGGTTTGTTTAACACAAAAATTACTACTATTCATTGCATAAAAAATTTACCGATAGTATAAGTGGCATCCATTCGACTTCCAATAACATCTCCAAAATCAACCAATGTCAACAATAAATCATCTTCGGGACCAGGCATAGAAATAAATCTAGTGTTTGTAACAAACTTCAGCTTGAAAGGATGTCTTGCTATACGAATGAAAGCATTAGAAGTTTTAACTACAAAAACGCTTAAGAGTTCCCACTTTCCTTCGATAAGTTCGTCTTCAAACAAATGAATGTATTTGTTCCAATTGAAGTTTGTATCTTCGACCCCTATAAACACTATAGTCATTAAAACTGGACACAAATACATCTTAAGAGACGGGAAATGGATTTAAAGCTGGAATGAATGAACTTACATGCTTGTCAACGACGATCATCTTTAATTTAGGCCTACGATTTCTATCCTTCGCACGCCATTTCCTCAGCAGTTTAATTTCAATAGAGGGATTCACAACACAAGGGTCTATCTCAGAGACTTTTAAGAACGTCTGCATCGTAGCAGAAATGTCAAAATGACCAAATTCTAAACTAAAAAACACTCGTTATATGAAATAAGAAGCATAGAGTGTATCGACAGTTACAATATTAATATTTTGTTTTCTTGTTTGTAGTGTCAATGCTGATAAGCTATCTTTATAGGCAAACAATTTTCTATAAATTTATTTTGAAAGAATAAAAACCAGTTCTGTTTTATGTATTAAGTACAAAAAACCAAGATATAATAAATAGTTCATAAATAAATAATATAATAAACGTGCAACACTAACCAAAACCGAGACTAAGAACCAAACCAAAATGATGAAAATCCATAACCAAAACAAACCCAGAACCAAAAACAATCTCAGACCAAATTTAATATACACAACAAAAACCAAAAGATCTAGATGTTCTCAAACACTTCCTTGTAGACAATGTTAACAGTACGTTTCTTTGGTTTCCCAGCCTCGTAAGTTATTAAGATCTTCAAACAGGAACGTGATGTTACTTTGGAGACAGCGACGTATAGCTGACCATGGGAAAACACAGGTCTTGGCAAAAAAATAACAACTTTTTGTAAAGTCTGACTCCGACTCTTATTTATAGTCATCACAAAAGCAACAGCAACAGAAAACTGTCGACGACGCATCCTGAATGGAAATCTAGTCTCTGGTGGCAAAACAAACATCCTTGGAATCAATACTTTCAGTCCAACCCTGTCCCCTGTGATAAGTTTAGCTTCAATCATATGCGCTGCGAGCTGCATTACAAGTAACCTCGTTCCGTTGCACAGACCACCCCGAGGATCAATATTCCTTAGCAACATAATAGGAGTGCCTATCTGCAGCTTTAGATCATGATTGGGCAAACCAGAAACTTTTATGCTATTCAGATATTCTTGGGTGTAAACCATATCGTCATTATTACTTGTGTCCGACGTATCAATACTATCTGAACTAAGGTAGGAATGTTCCTCGCCTATAACAAAAACAAGAAACAAAATTAATCGAAAGCACCTTAACTAAACCAAACTATATATGAAACAATAAATGTTACCTATTATGCGAGATAACATATACTCGTTTATAACATCGACGTCAGAATCCCTTGGACTCAGAATAGCTCGCCCCTGAAAAAACGTCAGATCTCGCTCTCTTGCATATGAATGGCCATACACTTCTTGGACAATTTTCTCCATAGGATCTCCACTCCCAGTTATCAGCAAATCATCTGGTATATCTATCTCAACCTCTCTAATGTTAGGCTCATTGATCTTTCCGTCACCTATAGCAAGTATCCATTTTGAAAAAGACTCCAGTTCTTGGGCACTATTTGCATGAACACCATGAAGAAGATGCATATTCGTGGTAAGTTTCAAGACTGTACAACTGCTCTACAACGCTGAAGAGTTCAGAGATGACATGATGGTTAAGCTCATTAACCACCAACAATCACAGGTAATATCTGTCTAAAATCTCCACCGAACACAACAACTTTACCACCAAACACTTTATCACATTTCAGAATATCCCTCATTGTTCTATCCAATCTTTCAAAACAATGTTTGCTCATCATCGGCGCCTCATCCCAAATAATCAGTTTGGCTTCGTTGATCAATTCCGCCTGATGTGATCCTGCAGCAATTGAACATGTTGTAAACTCGTTAACAGCGAATGGAATGCCAAACCTAGAATGAGCGGTCCTTCCTCCTTGGAGCAACAAAGATGCAAGCCCGTCGATGCCACGTTTAGGACGATGTCACCTCTAGAGCGAATATCAGATCCCAATACACTCCACAAAAATGTTTTTCCAGTACCACCAAAACAGCAAACAAAAAACATACCACCCTCGTCATGATTAACAGTGTGTATAATCTTGTCGTAAACCCGTTTTTGTTCATCTGTTATGGTTGTCAGTAATCTCGTATGCTCGACCTTGAGCTGATCTCTATTATAAATGCGCTCGTCCATTAAAAGATAATTAATAGTCTTATCCATGTCATCGTCCACATCATGAGGCATGTTATCGTAGTTGGTCAACGAATTTCCATTTCAACAAAGGTATTTCTCTATTTTAGAAAGTGCACAACTCTTCAACTCATCATCGGTCATAGTGAAATCTACACAATATGAAACAAAAATTAGCCTACACTCATTAATCTAAGATTACAATGATACATCCAAAACGAAGAACCGACTTACTTGGATTATCCGAATTTTTCTTGAGCATATATAATATATCCTCGCCCAGAATCTGCCAAGTCTTGTTCCACACGTTAACAGGCTCATAGATGCTATTAGTCAGCAACATAATAGCAAATAGCTGATATTACCATATATTATGCATATTTTGTATGCATTTAGGATAGTTTTTCATGCATTCATCTTGCATTATAGGCTAGTTTGTTCCATTTGTTGCATTTTAGGTCCTAGGTCCCTTTGCATTTGCATTTTGCATATTTCTTGCACTTTTGCACCATTATCAGGTTGTTTGGAGCACTTTGGAGTTGCGGAGGCTATGTGGACGTGAGGAGGATCAAAACTAAGCTTGTGGACACTTGGAGAACTTAGCCATGCATGCAAAGGACCCGAGATCGAGAAGCGGATCGAGCAAGGCAGGTCGATCTAGACGAGATCGACGAGAAGATCGAGTGACCCGAGTCGATGCAAGGGGAAGGATCAAGACCAAGATCGAGAGAGGTGATCGATCGGGAGTGCGGACGTGAATGACGCCATGCAGAACAAGAGCCAGATCGAGACCACGACTCGGTCATCCAAAGATCGAGTAGAAGATCGAGGAAGATACTCAATCCATCCAACCAGATCGACTTGAAGATCGAGCAAAGCAAGGCGATTCCTGAAGACGATCGAGCGCACTGATCGATCTCAAGGTCGATCTCTACGGCCTTAACCGTTTTTTGCAGCTAGTGAGGGGACCATTTCACGATGTTTGGCTATATGGAGAAAGAGGCGGCTACACTTTCAGAGAGACGTTTTTTCTTTTATCTTTTCTGTTCTTATCTTAGGCATTCGCCATTGTTGAACATCGAAGCTTTTCTTTAGTTTTTGAACTTGAATCTTTTAATATTAAGCAGTTTTTCTTTAATCGCATCGTTAATCATGCTTAGTTCATCCTTTATTGCTTTTCAATTGATCTTAAATATGAGTAACGAGTAGTTCTTTTTGGGTTTTCGGGGTTGAGGTGATTCAAAGGGTTTAAGA